AGGCTTCCAATGAATGATGTTTTCCGATCATGCGTCATGTTATCTAGAAGGTTTTTTAGGATATTCCAAGCTGGCAGGTCATTTTTACACACCAGCAAGTGACCAGCTCTCAGTGCCGTAGTGTTACTCACTCCTGTACAAGCCGAATGGAATCTAGTCTTACAGATATAACATTCAATTCCCGTTACCTTCGTCTTTAAGGAGTTGTTACAGTGGCCACAAATTTGTTTATTTACTCGCATATTGCCTTGTTTTGTTGTATATATCTATATATTTATAATATTATATGTATATTGTATATTTGTAACAATATATATGTATATATATTTATATGTTTAATATTTATAATATTATATGTATACTGTATATTTGTAATATTATGTATGTTATTTTGTTCAAACTTTATGGCAGGTACTTAGCGTAGGGTAGCGAGGCTGGTCCCTGGTCAGTACAGGTGACCTCTTGTTGTCCCAGGTTGATGTCACCAGTTTCCAGTTACCCGATTTATAACCACTGATGCCGCCTCTTGCCACTATTCTATATTTCTAGTATTCTATATTTATAATATTCACTTCCAACTTATATGTTGTTGTGATAACATAACATGTGATTATATAACATGTTACTGTGGTACATGTTACTAATGCACATGTGCATTAGGCAGAGATGTGGTGGAGGCTGACTCTAGACAGGTTCAAATGTAGATATGATAGAGGCCAGCAGGCCCAGGAACCTGCACACCAGGCGATTGACAGCAGAGAGGCGAGACCAAAGAGCCACAGCTCAATCCCCTGCAAGCACAACCAGGTGAGTACAACTAGGCGAGTACATAACCTGCACCTCAACCACCGTACTTCGTAACACAGATGAGGTAAGGTCCCTTGATCGATTCGAGCATGGGTTGGACATGCATATGAGTGGGACTGGACATGTAGAAATAGGAGCTGGCACGTATGGGCCAACAGGCCCTCGGCAGTCACCTGTGTGCTGACGGTCTTATATTCGTATCCAAAAACCATGAACTAGCGCCTGGCCGAAAGAGACGCCAGACTGCAGAAACTCACCTGCCGAACGTAGGCACGAACGTGTCACGACACAACGTAGCAGAGAAGATCTCTGGAGCACCGTCAGGGAAAGAAGGCCAGAGCCGCACACCCAGGAGAGCAGGGTAGAGTCAAAAGAGGCGCCCCACACCCATGACACAGGGAAAACCCCGGTGTCCACCCCATTGCTGCAAATCCAGAACATCCCAGTAGCTACGGGCAAGGACCGAAGAATGGAGAAGAGTGAGAGGCGAAGCACTCAAGAGAAAAGGATGCAAAACACCAGCACAGGCGCACACCGCCCAGACCAAACCCACACAGCACAACCCACTCAGCGGGAAGGTGCCAACTAGGACTACTTTACAAGAAAAGTAGCCAAACAGTTCATGACCCGAGTGAGCCGCTAAATAGAAGAAACAGCCCAGCTCATGGGACAGGAGCCAAAAAAGGAGTAAGCAGCGACATACATAGCCGGCTTATGAAATGAATACAATGAACCTAATCGGGAACCCAATTGGGCTACAAATAACCCAATCTTGCATCCCGGACTAGGAGTATGTAAAGAAAATGAGCAGTGCCGAGACAGAGCGCAGAGAAAAGAGACAGCAACAAAAGAACAAGACAGGGTTGAAAACCAAGAATAAGCACAGAAGAGGACCAATAGGCCCTAGAAAGGACCGGAGGAAAGCCACACCGAAAGATGACAGACGTTCCAATAATATGGGAAGTAGCATAAAACCTTCCTGAATCTTCGAGAACTCACAGAAGCAAGCACAAGTTACGAAGGCACATAAAGGCACAGTTGCACCCAAGACCAAAAATCACGCAGAACCCCCAAGAAGAGGGGAGCATGACAGAGAAGTCCCATCCCAAGAAAAAGGGGGGAAGAACGGAGAAGAGCACCCCACCGACAGGACGGAACCAACAGACTCAAGGGGACAAGGAACTGAGCCCGGGGAGGGGCCGACAACCAACAACTCGTATGGAAAGGGGGGGAGGAAAAACCCCATTCCGCATAACTGCATGCCCCGCCCAGAGGGTAGAAAAACCCTGGCGGGGTCCAACGAGGCCCTAGGCTCCCCAAGGCAGCCCCTCCCCAACCCCGGGGCCGAGACGTCCCCCCAAAGCCCACAAGAAAAAACTGGGGCAGCCACGAAAATACTAAGGAAGTTAGCCCACTGGCAGACTCATACAACACGGCTGGAGGAACAGGCTCGAATTCCCCCGTCGCTACCCCAGAAGGGAAATTCCCCCGAGATCGCCTGAGTCTCAAAACCAACAAAGCCCTGCCCCGACCCCGAACCCACAGACGGTAAGGATCTGGATGCAGGTAGGAGGGGGGGGGGGGACCCCAGACTAGACCACAGCAGGGAAAAGACAAGGGGCATGGAAGGAACCAAAGCAACCAACACCAACCAAAACAGGGAAGCCTCGGGGCTTCTGGGGAGCAAACAACCGAGAGTGTTGCCACCATCGAAGCTCATTGTGCAACGCCGGTGCTTGCCTGCACCTGCATAGTCAGCATAAGACTGGGTAACCGAGTCACAAATAAGCAACAATACTCAAAGAACTCCGGGCCGAAGGTGTCACCAACTCCACAGGCAGCAGACGGAGGCAAAGACAGAGAGAGTCACCCGGAGACAAGGGGACAGAGCAACCCTCAAACTCGCTGGAAGCGAAGGGGGACTCCGGGGTCACATCCATCGGACCTGCATGCCCCCAGGGGTTTCCCAGGGTCCTGAGCGTTTACTATAATAGGACTAGCGCTCAGGTAATCCCAGGCAGGGTATCTGCTAACCGGCGCCCAAGTCTACCAAACAACCTTCTAAGAACTGAACCCCCGGGACGTGTACACTCACGGGAACCTAGCAGGGGAAATCACCAGAAGAAGGAAGAATACTCAGTACACAGGGGACACAGGGAGCAAGAACTAAGGCAGACCCCCCCCCCCACCAGGCAGACAAACAAAAAGAAAAAAGAAAACCCCGCAAGACGACAGCGTACCCAGGCGGAACAGAGCTGGCCGCTATGATTGGTGAAAACAAGCTGTACAATACCCTGCGCCCCACCAGTGCAAACTGCCCCTAACCCTGGTTGATACCTGGTTGATGGGGTTTTGGGAGTTCTTCTACTCCCCCCCTACTCCCTAAGGCAAACAAGGGAGACAGAACACCCGAGCACACAAAGGGCGGCTGAAAACCAAGCAGTAAATGGCCTAGCAGAGGCAGAACCCAAGGAACTTGTGGAAGGTGGCCCCAAGCCCCAAGGGCAGTACTCACAGGGCACCTAGGGAAGGAAACCCTAGGCACATGCAGCCCGAGTACTGGAGAATCACTCCTGACTCACGCACCACCTAGAAGACAGTCACCACACTCTAGGTACAGTGCAGAAACAACCACCGGAGCCGGAGCACACGACCTCAGCCTCTAGCATCAGCCAAAGAACTGATGGTGGATAGCTGGCGTGGTAGGTCTGGGGCTCCCCCTTTCCCCTCCCAGGGAGAGGGGAGCTGCGCAGACAGTGGCGCAGCGACGTGTGACATCATGATCGTTTGCTCATTTCTTTTACAGGAGTTCTATCCACTTGTTCGGATTGTGGTAGCAATTTTCACCAGAATAGGGGTTTGTTTTAGGACGCTTACCTTTCTGGGTGCCTGACCCGGTCGATGGCAGACATAAAAATAATTCCAACCACACAGGGGTTTCTATAGGCCATTGCTCCCCTTGCCTCTCTGAGGGGGCCAGGTTCTGGCCGTGGTTCCCGGTAGGCCCAAAGAACTCCATACACATGACTGATGCCAAAGTCTGACATTAGCATATCAGCCTGGATAAGCTCCAGAGAGCCTAAGGGGCTCCCCCACAGAAAGAGAGCACTCTGTCCAAAGACCAGGACGGCTCAGGCGGTGCATGAGCAGACCAGAGGTGACAACCCCCAAAACAGCTTGCGAAATGGTGCAGAAGAAGCATCAAAACCGAAAACAAGCTGCAGCGGCTCCGCCAACGCCGCATGATTCGAGGCGATAGTATTTGGCATAAGATGATGGTTCTGAAACAGCCACGAGAGAAAGGACAAAACAGCCTTAATCAAAAGCGAAGTACAGCGACGAAGAGACAAAAAGAACCGGAAGGAACGCCAGGAAACTTCATACTGCTGCTGAGACGAAGCCCACAGGTGGGACACCATCAAAGATCACTATACAGATGGTGACAGACACAAGTCAAAAAGACCAAACGTGATGACTCGAAGAGAAGATCGAACCAGTCTTGTAATGGACCAGAGCGATCTGCTGAAAAAGATGGAGCTGCGGAAAATCTCCAGGTTCGGTCACCAAGCAGTGCCTGAAACCCAGGCTGGGCCAGCCACCATGGGGCCAAGAGGACTTCTCTTCCCCCTGGTAAGTCTCCAAGCAAGCCAGGACCTGGAGCAATAGCTGAACCGGGGAGAAGAGGTACAGGAACCCCAACTTCGACCAGTCCTGCTGGAAGGCATCGACCCCAAAGCCTCGCAGTCGGGGAAGGGCGCAACATATACCGGAAGATGCCTCGACCATGCCGACGCAAAGAGGTTCATCCCCGAGTGCCTGAACGTTTGGCAGAGCCAACTGAATGAGTCGGCGTCGACCGTCCATTCTGTGGACAGGGGAATGAACCGAGACAGGCCATCCGCCAGAACATTGGACACACCCCGAATGTGAATGGCCAGGAAAGCCAAACCCCGAGAACTCAGTAGACGAGTAACCCGAAGCCAAGGACTGCATCGAACCCCCTCGGTTCAGCCAATGGACCACCGGGGAGCCGGATCGTAGACCCGTGGGTGACCTGAACCCTCCAAAGCGAAAACCACACCGCCATGAACTCCCGCTCTATGCTGTGGGCCCGACGGAAAGACGAACCCCAGCACCCCCTGGCTGGTCTGGTGAGCACTGGTCTTTTCGTTTGTTTTGTTACACATTCTTACCAAGATGTCAGTCAAAATCTTATAATCTTGGAGCTTATTACTGTCATCATAGCGTGTGACCAAGCCAATTGCAATCCCAGCTGCTGGCGCAGATATGTTGACACCTGCATCCATTAGGGCCAGACTTCCACCACACACAGTTGCCATAGAAGATGACCCTGCAAGTAAATATAGAAATTCCATAAAGACAGATAGGACATTAGCTGAAAATTGTGAACAACCAGTCTTAAATTATTTACCACTTATGCATGGTTGCCAGCACTACTGAGTTCTATTCTACATGCTAGGAATACCCAACACCAACAAAATATATCTAAACTTACAACTTGGTTATTAATACATATTTAGAAAGCTTTTTTTCACAAGCTTTCATATTTCAATGAAATACAAACATTAAATAAAAGAAAAGCTTGTTCACTGATAAGGAAATACATCAAATGTTACTCTCAAGTATCTGGAATTCATTACTAGTAATTGTAACCGAGTTCTTGCATTTTGATGTCACAATTTCACTTTAAGTACTAATGACTTAACTTCAAATTTAAAGATAAAATAATCCATACAAAATTTTTACCCTTAAAAAACCAGCGTTGAATGTAATGAAACGCCATTTTCTGGGTGAGACCTGGAGGCTCCCCGGAGCTTTACCGGCTGATATGCTAATGTCAGACTTTGGCATCAGTCATGTGTATGGAGTTCTAGGGCCTACCGGGGACCACGAGCCAGAACCTGGCCCCCTCAGAGAGGCAAGGGGAGCAATGGCCTATAGAAACCCCCGTGTGCTTGGAAGCATTCTATGTCTGCCATCGAACGGGTCAAGCATCCAGAAAGGTAAGCATTCCAAAACAAATCCCTATTCTGGTGAAAATTGCTACCTAAAGCCGAACTAGTGGATAGAACTCTTCAACAGAAAACAAGGAAACTAGTATGACGTCATACGTCACCGCGCCGCTGTCTGCACAGCTCCCACCTCCCTGGGAGGGGGAAGGGGGAGCCCCAGACCTCCCACGCCGGCTATCCACCCATCAGTTCTGAGGCTGGATGTCAAAACACGCGAAAAACGCCGACCGGAGGGAGGGAGGGTTGCCGGGGAGCCTCCGGGTCTCACCCAGAAAATGGCGTTTCATTACATTCAACGCTGGTTTTCTGGGGGGAGCCCCGTCGGCTCCCCGGAGCTAACTACCCACAGAGGAAGGTCAAAGGGATAGAACCGGGAGGCAGACACCACGCACCCCCCAAGGAGGCGAGACAACCGGCAGCAAACGCCAACCCAAGGCGCCACAGCCCCGAAAATCCCGGGAACAACACGAGAACCACGAGCAGCAAGGCCCCTGCACGAACACCAAAAATCCATGCCCGAAAGACCGCAAGGCCACGTCGCCCAGACGGCAGCGAGAGCAGCGAAGCCACGAACGCCACAGGCATGAGGGAAGAACACAGGCAGCTTAGCCGCAAGAACACGGCTGACCACCTGGGACACTATCACCCGCGAACCGGGAAGAACAGAACCGGATCAACGCAAAACGCGCTCTGGACCCAAACTCCGTGGCACGCAAACAACAGCGGAGGGCCGCCACTGAACACAAAAACGACACACCCCCGGCCCGACCAATAGCACCACTGCACTCCACAGGTACTATCCCGCAAGTTCTACCAGATAGGCGGGACCCAAGAGCCAGAGCTCAAATCCTGCAAGCACAGCCAGGAGCCTCACCAGGTGAGTACAGAACCAACCCTACAACCCCCACACCTCACAACATTAAAAAGGAGGGTCCCCTGAATGACTCCAGCATGGGTTGGACATGCACATGAGGGGGACAGGAAGGGGTGATAAAGGGACAGTCACTGGTGTGCGAACGGTCTCAGTCGTACAAAAACATACCTAAATAAAGACAGGTATATAAACAACACCGCATCCAGCGCCCGGCCAAAAGACGCCAGACCGCAGAAACTCACCTGGCGAATGGTGGCACGAACTTGACACGACTCAACCGTGCCCAGAAGAACCTGGGAGCACCGCCAGGTGAAGACGCCAGAGCCGGACCCTGCCGGACCCGCAGGAGAGCAGGGAGAGGCGAAGGAGGCGGTCCACACCCATGACACAGGGAAAACCGCGGTGTCCTCCCCACAACTGGGAACCAGGACACCCCCGGCGCAAAGGGGCACATACCGCAGCCAGGGAGAAGAACAAGAGGCAAAGCACTGTAGCAAAAAAGGGCGCAAAACACCAGCACTGAAACACCGCCCAGACCAAAACAAACTCCACGGCGCATGCGCATAACACGCTGGCCGAACCGCACACCCTCCCTGCGGGAAGGCGCCAGCCAGGACTACTGCACGAGAAAAGTAGCCAAAAGAGGAAGCAGGAACAATAAAACCGGCCAAAGAAGCAAAGAGCCCAAAAAGGAACCCAACCGGGCGACAAGCAGCTCAACAGGGCGACAAGCAGCCCAACAGGGCGACAAGCAGCCCAACAGGGCGACAAGCAGCCCAACAGGGTGACAAGTAGCCCAACAGGGCGACAAGTAGCCCAACAGGGCGACAAGTAGCCCAACAGGGCGACAAGGACGAGGAGCCGACAGACGTTCCAATAATGCGGGAAGTAGCGAAAAACCTTCCCGTACCCTCGAGAACACGGAAGCCAACACTAGTCCCGAAGGCACACAAAGGCGCTGGCGCACCCGAGATCAGAAGTCACGCAGAAACCCATCGAAAGGGGAAACATGACGAAAACACCGTCCCAAAAAGGGGTGGGAGGAAACATCCACCCACAGGACGGAACCAACCGACTCAAAGGCCAAGGAACCGAGCCCGGGAAGAGGCCGACGCCCAACAGCACGTATGGCGAGTGGGGAGGAAAAACCCCACTCCGCGCAACCACAAGCCCCGCCTAGAGGGGGATAAAAACCCCCACTGGGTCCAACGGGGCCAAGGCCCCCTAAGTCAGCCCCTTCCCAGCCCCGGGAACCTACACGACAGGCCCCGGGGCCGAGCCGTTCCCCCAAAGCCCCGACCGTACCAGAAAACCGGGGCAGCCGTGAAAACACTAATGAAGGGAGCCCACTGGCAGACTCGTACAACACGGCTGGAGGAACAGGCTCAAATGCCCCTGTCACTACCCCGGAAGGGGAATTCCCCGAGACTGCCCGAGTCTCAACACCACCAAACACCCCGCCCTGAACCTACAGACGGTAAGGAACCGGATGCAGGCAGGAAGGGTGAACCAGGGGAAAGACAAGGGGGCGTGGATGGAACTGAAGCAACCAACACCCCCAAGTCCCAAAACGAACTACAACAGGGCAGCCCTGGGGCTCCCGGGGAGGAAACCATGAGAACGTTGCCACCACCAAGGCTCAAGTGCAACGCCCCTGCTGCCCGCACCCGCTTTGTCAGCACAACTGGGTAACCGAGCCACAACGAGCAACCAAACTCGCAGGACTCCGGGTCGAAGGTGTCACCGACCCCACAGGCAGCAGACGGAGGCAAAACAGAGAGGCACCCAGAGACAAAGGGTGAGAGCAACCCTCAAACTCGGTGGAAGCGAGGGGGGGACTCAGGGGTCACATCCATCGGACCCGCGCGCCCCCAGGGGTTTCCCCAGGATCCCGAGCGTTTACTATAAGAGGACTCGCGCTCAGGTAATCCCAGGCAGGGTTCTGCTAACCGGCACCCAAAGCTACCAAACAACTTTCTAAGAGCTGAACCCCCGGGACGTGTACACTCACGGGGACCTAGCAGGGGTACCACCAGAAAATACCCAGAACACAAGGGACACAAGGGGCAAGAACGAAGGCAGACCCCCCACCAAGCAAAAACAAAAACAAAAGAAAAAACCCGCAAGAGGACAACGTACCCAAGCGGAACAGAGCCGGCCGCTGTCATTAGCTGTGCGGTACCCCGCGCTCCTACCAGTGACAAAAACTACGACCTACCCAGAGATAAACCAGGGCAACAAAACCTCAGCCGACTCCAAGGGCAGCCCAGTACTGAGCAGTAAAGGACACAGCGGAGGTAGAACCCAAGGTGACTTGTGGAAGGTGGCCCCAAGCCCCCAAGGGTAGTACTTACAGGGCACCTAGGGAAGAGAGCCCTAGGTGCATGCAGCCCGAGTACCGTGGAATCTTACTCCTGGCTCACACCCCACCGGTAGAGACTGTCCACACCACAAGGCACAGAACTGAAAACAAAAATCGGAGCCAGAGGCACTTGACCGACCAGTAATTCCATCAGCCAAGAACTGCCAGTTGGATCGCCGGCGTGGAGGGTCTGGGGCTTCCCCTTCCCCCTCCCAGGGAGAGGGGGTTGCGCAGACGATGGCAAGGTGACGTGATGACGTCATGCTAGTTTTATAATTTTGTTTGGAGAGTTCTGTCCACTCGTTTGGCTTTCGGTAGCAATATTTTTACCAGAATAGGAGTTTGTTTTGGGGCGCCTATTTTCCTGGGTGCCTATCCTGGTCGGTGGCAGACATAGAATGCTCCCAACCACAAGGGGGGTTTCTATAGGCCATTGCCCCTTGTGCCTCTCTGAGGGGGCCAGGTTCGGCCTCGTGGTCCCCGGTAGGCAAGAACTCCTTGCACTTTGACTGATGCCAGAAAGTTATACATATCCATTCAACCTGGATAGCTCCGGGGAGCTGATGGGGCTCCCCCCAGAAAGTGGGTGTTGACAGAGCGGTCGTCAGAGCCGGTCAGCGTCACCCGAGCTGACAGGTGAGAGTTGTCACAAAGATATTATTGCCTAATTATTTCAATGTCTCTGATTTATTTTTTCTTAGTTTTTATACAGTAGTATTATTCAATAGTGTGTAGTGTGATATATTTATATAATAAATGAGGTGAATCATTGCTATACTCAAAATTATGGTGTGCATATTAGTGATTCAATTATTATGTTCATAAAACAATAAACAAATAATTTTGCTGTTAATTACACTCTATACACAGGTTATATATAAGTATCTGCATATTTTGGTCACCATAACGAACCACTAAGTTGGTATTATGAGTCGAAAAGCAACGAGGAGTGACCGCCACAAACCAGCCAGCCACTCGTTGCTACTCACTCCCTCAACAACGCCTCACTCGCCCACTTTCTCCTCCCACCATACTGTTTTATACTTTATTCACAAATACAGACGTTATATATAAGTATCTAC